ATTAAATGAAGTAAATAATTCTGAAATATTAAAGCAAAATATGCAAGATTGACCAAAATAATAAAATTGAACAAGCTATGATTTCATAGATTAGTTTGATGTATGACATATTCCGAGCTGACTCTCTGTTTATTTAAACCATCTAAGAGGCTTAATCATTGAAAATCATTACAAATAAAGGTTTAAACAGACAGTATTAAGGTACACTATTAGAATACCCTTATTATTTCCAGGCTTAGAGTTCATTGGTACCTACTACTGTTTCATAGCTCGGAGGTTTAATATATGATATATTCTGACTAGTTTTTCTGCAGATTTGAACCACCTCACAGGTCTAATCATTGAATATACATGTACTTAATATACTAGGTCTAAAATTGAAGTATTCAATAGAACCCTCTTTGAGAAATTCAAAAAAGATTCATTAAAGATTCACATTAGATCTGAATAATGATTAAAATCCTTCATAGAGCTGAACAAGGAAGACAAGGCTAAATTCATTCTGGTGGTGATACATGGACATGGTCCAAATCTTGCTATACTTCACCCAAGCCCAAAGAAAGGGAAATAAGGAGCTTCATCTCGATCCATTTCAATGCATGATCTTTTATTTCATGACCACCACAATTATGGAAGGTGGGGCACAGTAAACTTAGAGGAAATGCACTAACTACTAGTACCTGCTGCAGTTGAGCGAGGATTCTTGCATTGAAACTATGTGGTAAAAGGCTCTACAAATTCAATCAACCAAGTTGATTGACCCCTATGCCAGTATGCTATTGGTTAGAAGGGTGGCAGAAGTTTAGGCATAACACAAAGACAATATCTGCATTGAATAGATGGGCACCGGGGTATAATCTTAGGTCACACATGGGTAGTCCAAACAAGAATGATGTTTGGACTTGCATTTCGAGATTCCATAGAGGGGGGGGGTGGTAATTTGCAAATCAAAACATGAATCTATGGAAGAAGATAAAATATGTGACATGCTGCTGAAGTTTGGCATGTTTTCAGAAGATCCATTACTTAATCTCCAAAGTATATGTACAAAAGATGTACTCACAGAAACAATCAATGGGCGCTCAACAGTTTGGCCAACAACAACTGGATGTCTTTGCGTCTTAGAGGTTGATACCAACAGAGTCAAATGAAAGACACAACATTTCTTGATCTACTGAGCAAGCACCAACATTTTTTAAACATATGCCTAATCCCAATATAAACGAGCAGAAAGTTGTTAGGGCAGACAGGAATGTTTTGCGGAATCTTATCACTGCATATGAAGCTAACCACAGACCTGTGGGCATCAATGAAATCATGAGACATGAGCTGATGTCTTTTCCAATAGCCCTCTCATTGACGAATGAAATATTCAAGCCAACTCAAATGTACTCTTCTGTTTAACTGTTTAACAAATGGTATTGAAATGCCAACCGCAATATTTCCGATATATGATCCTTCTTACAAATTAGCATCAAGTGCATCTACATCTGAGGATTTGGCGATCGACAGTCTTCAAGGAAGTAAAACTTCAGCAGTGAAGTGTACTGTGCCCCATCTTGCATACTTTTGGTGGTCATATCTCATGAAAAGGGGAATCATGCATTGAAATATATTGGGATGAAGCTCCCAATTTCCCTTTCTTTAGGCTATGGTGAAGCGTAGCAAGATTTGGACCATGTCCATGTATTACTACCAGAATGAAAAGTAATCCTTGTCTTCCTTGTTCAGCTCTATGAAGGATTGTAATTCTGATTTACAAGAGGCATCCGAGATCACATCAATCAGTTGCTTTATTTGATTTCCAGATCCAATGTTGTGGTTAATGTCATTCTGAATCTTTTTTGAATTACCCATATAAGGTCCTAATGGATTTAAATTGCAAAAAATTGCTACTCTGCAAAAACTCTCATTAACTGAAACATCCCACTAATTCAAAATGTTGTCAAAGCCATTTGTCAAGAATTTCTGCCTTAACTCCAAGAGTAATACAGAATGTTTAATGGGGACCGGGGGGGGGGGGATTTTTTAATATGACAAAACAATGTTCAGGGAAGAAAACTCCATAAAATGAAGATTTGTATGAATCATTGGTACTTTTGCTCTCACGTCATGCAATTGTCAGGCTGCTTAGAATGAAATTAGCCTTGTCTTCCTTGTTCAGCTCTATGAAGGATTTTAATCATTATTCAGATCTAATGTTGAGGTTAATGTCATTCTGAATCTTTTTTGAATTTTTCCATAGAGGGTTCTATTGAATACTTCAATTTTAGACCTAGTATATTAAGTATATTCAATGATTAGACCTGTTAGGTGGTCCAAATCTGCAGAAAAACTAGCCAGAATATATCATATATTAAACCTCCGAGCTATGAAACGGTAGTAGGTACCAATAAACTCTAAGTCTGGAAATAATAAGGGTATTCTAATAGTGTACCTTAATACTGTCCGTTTAAGCCTTTATTTGTAATGGTTTTCAATGATTAAGCCTCTTAGATGGTTTAAATAAACAGAGAGTCAGCTCGAAATATGTCATACATCAAACAAATAATCTATGAAATCATAGCTAGTTCAATTATGCTCATACCAGTAAAATGATACTAATGGTATACTTGAATTTAATCAATTGCAGACCTATGATTTAAGAATGAATTTTCAATGATAACACTTAAAAGATTGTTCAAACCACCAGAAAGCCAAGCCAGGATATATCATACATCGTTTCTCTAAGCTAGAAAACTAATATTGGTACAGATATGTTCATAAATAAGAAATTATAGGGTTCTTCCAAGAGTATACCTATAACTTATCAATTTTAGACATCATATTTCATGAATTTTTAATATTTGAACATGCTAAAAGCTTAAATCTTCCTAAAACTTAGCTAAAATAAGTTTTATATTTTATATTTATTCTAAAATGCCAAATATATGAACACAGAGGGATAAATGTTAAAGCAATAGGGGTCAGTTATAGTCACACATAAAATCAGTCCCAGCTAAAATGTCATTTTTTCTTAAATTCACTAATTTTTTTCAAGGCAATTATCAAAGGTATTACTTTGATTCTTGCAGCATTAGTAGACCAGGTATTGAGCCTTTTACATGATTTTTTTAGCATCCATCATTGTCTAATAAAAAAGTTATGATACAAAAAGTAAAAAAATGGGTCATAAATTTGCCCCCTGGGGTACATACTTTTTGCTTTTATTCAAATTTCTTAAGGGTAATCCGTATCATTCATACTTCAAATGTTTATTTTATACAATGTCCATGTATTTCACTTACAAAAACCATAAAATCAAAGTTATTTTAGGTTGGAGAATTTTTTCCCCCTGATAGGGGTGAATTTTGGGGGTGGGGGGACTAACATGGTATTTTAAGGGTTAAATAATCATATTTCAGCTTGCCAACATGGTTTTTTGGATTCAGCATAAAAAGTTACATAAGAAACACTTGTCAGAACACTTCTAACACTAAACGCCTACCACATTTTACAGAGAGACCTTTTGCAGAAAAGCACCCGGTCTATTTCTCTCCACCGAGCTACAGCGTAGAAAGGTGCCTATAGGATGGACCAGATTAACCGCGCCCCAACAATTACAATCTTGGATAAGTCGTGCTGGCTTTTATGTTCCATTCGTTGCATGTTGCGTACTTTCGCGTACCGTTCGCGTAAGTGTAACATGCCTATCCTACGACGCTCTTGTATTAGCATGCATACCACCCTATGCAGACAGAGCCTGTGGGAAATATTGGGTGCGGAGCAAATGAGCGGAGGGTGCGGAGCTAACGGTCATTTTTGAATTTAAAATTGGGATATTTCTGAAACTAAGCCGTTTTGGAACTTCAAATATACCAAGGTATGTGTATTTGACACCAAATATCAATAAAATTGTGAAAATAGTAGTGCAATTCATTTTATAGCGACGCAGTATGTCTTAAACATTTCCCAGACCTATATATTTTGATACTATCCTTTTAATACTGCGTCCCCAGCATTCATAAAAAATGGTGTTCAAGATACACTACCCATGCAAATTATTTTTGCATCTTGGAAGCCAGGCAGTATCTGTGTGATTTTATAAAAATTCGGAAATGATCTTCAGATATGAGCCCCTCTAAATATTGGGTGCGGAGCTACGTTTATGGAGCTGCTCCGCACCCAATATTTAAAGGGGCTCATATCTGAAGAACATTTCCGAATTTTTATAAAATCACACAGATACTGCCTGGCTTCCAAGATGCAAAAATAATTTGTATAGATAGTGCACCTTGAACACCATTTTTTATGAATGCTGGGGACTCAGTATTAAAAGGATAATTTCAAAATATATAGGTCTGGGAACGGTTAAAGGCACACTGCGTCGCTATAGAATGAATTGCGCTACTATTTTCACAATTGTATTGATATTTGGTGTCAAATACACATATCTTGGTATATTTGAAGTCCCAAAACGGCTTAGTTTCAGAAATATCCCAAATTTAAATTCAAAAATAACCGTTAGCTCCGCACCCTCCGCTCATTTGCTCCGCACCCAATATTTCCCACAGGCTCTGTCTGCATAGGGTGCATACACCTACGTCATATTAACACCGACTTCGTCCTGTTACCAGGCCTCATTCAATCAATCTTCGGGGAACGGCGTATCCTATCGTTCACGGAGCTTTTTATTTAAACTCCGTTTACGAGTATACTTGTTTTGGGGCTCTTATCCCAAAGATTAATGATTATATAAGGTTGCATAATCATGATTTTGCGCTGTCATTAAGTAACATTATCTCATGATTACGTAATCGTTTCTTTGGTATACAATTACGCAAGCTCTGATCGATAGATAGCCGTCTCCCCATGCCAAAAAGGTTAATTGTAATATGTTATATTTTATGTAATAAAATCTATAAAAACGTACACATGTTCTTTGGATATAAAGCAATATTCGTTTTAGCCCTTTCAACACAGAATTTATGGAAAGTGTGACTACCAGCCTTTTCACATACCTTTCCGCCTTTTAGTTTCCCTGTGTTGATTTTGCCAAGATTTTGTCTCCATTTTGCGACTATCTTAGTTGTACCAGAGTAAGTGACGGTGCTGTACATGGTTTGATCATCCAGCTCGGTAAGGATGTCCGCCATATCGTTTGTGATGCTCTTCATTACGTTTTGAAAGTCCTTTTTATTGTTTCGGCATGACGTTTGCACGACGAAACACACATCACCATTTTTCACTTGAAAAATACAAAACTTTAGAGGGTAGCTAGTACTCGGGGTGGAAAATTTTCTAAGAGGCTCCGTTAAGGAAAAAATGACTTTATGAGCTGGATGGAATTTCTGTGTATTTTTTATTCTATTAGGGTGTCCTGCATAAATAATTTCGCCTGCGAAGCATATAACTCTTGCGAACATATCTTAATACTGGTCCGAAGAAGACATACCTTGAATTTTTTAGAAAAAAGGGGCTAAAAATGGAAACTAAAAGAAATCAAAATGTTCAACTCAAACAAAGTTGTAGCTATTCTATATCAATATTTTGTGTTATGTAAGGTTTCTCAGATGTTTCAGGACCTTCATTAGTATACTTGTGTCTAGAAATGTGACATTTAAGGACAAAATTTGGCATTTTTAATCATTTTCGCTTTCAGCATTAACATATAGTTCCTTATATCTCGAGGTTAATGCTGACTGGTTGGTGCATTTTTGATGAAATCTGTGCTTGTACATGTGTTCTTCCATTTAAGGTATAGAAAATGTATAGTAGACAACCAATGTTCGTATGAGAGCTTTCAGATCTCCCCTACCCCATTTATTATGGAAAATTACTGAAAAATATGAAAAAATAAAATAACTTGAAATTATAAACTTTAACAAAGTTGTAGCTATTCTATGTCAATATTATGTGTTATTTATTGTTTTTAAGATTTTTCAGAACTTTTATTGGTATTCAAGTGGCTAGAAATGAGACATTTAAGGACAAAACTTGGCATTTTTTAACATTTTCGCTTTCAGCAGTAATATATAGTTCCTCATATCTTGAGTTTTATGCTGTCTGATTGTTGCATTTTCAATCAAATTTGTTCTTGTGCATGTCTTCTTCCATTTAAGGTATAGAAAATGTATAGTAGACAAACAATGTTCATATTAGAGCTTTCAGAACTTCCCTACCCCATCAATTATGGAAAATAAACGAGAAATATGAAAAAATAAAATAACTTTAAATTATAGACTTTCATAAAGTTGTAGCTATTCTATATCAATATTATGTGTTATTTAATGTTTTTAAGATTTTTCAGAACTTTTATTGGTATTCAAGTGGCTAGAAAATGAGACATTTAAGGACAAAACTTGGCATTTTTTAATCAATGCTGCTTTCAGCAGTAACATATAGATCCTCATATCTTGAGTTTTATGCTGACTGGTTGATGCATTTTTGATTAAATCTGTTCTTGTACATGTCTTATTCCATTTAAGGTACTGAAAAATGTATAGTGGACAAACAGTGTTCATATTAGAGCTTTCAAATCTCCCCTACCCCATTTATTAGGGAAGATGACTGGAAAATATAAAAAATAACTTCAAACTACCAGTATAAACTTTAACAAAGATGTAGCTATTCTTTATGTGTTATTGATTGCTAATAATGTTTCAGGACCTTCATTAGTATACTAGTACCCTTTGCATTCGTTTGACTTCACTTCTTAAAAGAGAGCTTCGTCTTCACTCTTTCAAACTAAAATAAACCTGTGAACTTACCGCGCCAATCAGTGTTCGTCGGCCAAATTTGACAGACGTTCTATATATGGTCATTCTTTCTGACGTCATCGTTGAGCCCGGAATTGACCAATGACATGCACATATTTAATTAGAACGCATTTGGTGTATGTTTCTTCAAGCTCGCGGATTGGTAGAAGAAAGGTCAGCGCGTAGGTCAAAAGTGATTTATTACCCAAACTGTCACCGGTACCCGTCGTGGGGGCGGGGCTACTAAACTGTAATATGGTATCTACTAGGCAGAGTGTAGTTTAACTAGACTCTGGACGCAGGGTAGTATACTAGTGTCGAGAAATTAGACATTTAAGAACAAAATTTGGCATTTTTCATCAATTTTTCATCATTTCCACTTTTAGCAATAACATACGAGGGTATATCATAAAGTTCTCATAATATCTCTCTAATTTTTTTATTTTTCAACATATTCTGATGAATTTTTCACAGAATGTGTAATATACAATGCTGCATTAATCTATCAAAACATATTTGGTATAACAGAAATATTATTTAAGAAATGGTTGCCATAGTAACCGGAAATCAAGGCACCCGGGGCAAATAAAAAATTGTGCAAGAATAGCCCCAACTAACCATGTTTAAATGCATAATACGTTATCAAATAAACTATAAAACACATCAAATTGTTAAGAACCATGCATTCTTGATTGTTTTGAACTATTATAATGGTCATGTGAATTTTGTGATCTCATAATGGATGATCGTAATGCTTCATTAGAAGTGATGTTAGACACTACAACTGTTTTGTCAAATATTCCAAGGAAAGTCGATTTTCCACTTTAGTTCATCTTAAATAAATAATAGACCACACATAGGGTGTAATTTTGTTGATATCTTTGCACCACATTTGTTTTAGATTATCTTTAGTTTGAGCAAAGGATTTTTCGAACTAAACTAAACTTTATATCAGTATGAATATTATTTTTCTGATGATCCCTGCATCTATGCATTATCTAACTCAGTTATTTCTGATCATTAAGCTTTGATTCTCAGAGTCTGGTATCACATCTAATGAAGCATGTAAGCATCCCCTATGACATCACACAATTCACATGATCAATTTATTTTATAGTAAAAGCATTCAACAACATATTCAAGATAACATTTTAACGTGTTTGATAACTTATGAGAGTTTATTATGTATGTAAACAAAGTTAATAAAGCTCATTATATCTCAATTATTTTTATTTGCCCCGGGTGCCTTGATTTCCGGTTACTATGGCAACCATTACTTATCTAATATTTCTGTTATACCAAATATTTCTTGATATATCAATACAGTATTCTATACTGCAGATTCTATGAAGATTTCATGAGAATATGTTGAAAAATAAAAAAATTAGAGAGATATTATGAGAACTTTATGATATACCCTCGTATAGTTCCTTATATCTTGAGTTTAATGCTGATTGGTTGATGGATTCTTGATCAAATCTGTTCTTTTGCCTGCCTACTTTGATTTAAGGTATTTAGAAATGTATATTGGAAAGCCTGTCATTATATTAGAGCTTACATATCGCCCCTACCCCATTTATTTTGAAAAAATAACCAGAAATATAAAAACCAAACAATTTCAAAGTATAGACTTTAACAAAGTTGTCGATATTCTAGATCAATACTATGTATCATTTGATATTTTTCAGATGTGTCAGGAACTTCATGAGTATACAAGTCTAAAAATTAGACATTTAAAGTTGAGCTGTATCAATGGAGCGGGTATTCTCTATCTTTGTCCATTGTGCTTTCTGGTTATAATATGTTGCAAACTGCTCATGAATCTATGCAATGTATAGTACAACACTTGGAATATATTAATGGGGTATAGTACTTTGATAATTATAACCAGTGATCAAGCCATATTGGTTGAATTCCCTCATATCAATTGCAATGTTGTCAAAGGCTTGGTGATTTCCATATTACACCTAAGGGTGGGAAGTTCATGATGGATATTGGGCTTGGGGATATTTTGGTAAATGCAAACATTGTGAAATGAAGAACAGCCAACAAGATGATTTTGGAAAGAATTACAAAATGGTAAACTGTCTTTGGTTTGTGAAGCATTATGTTACTGTATCTCTAAAATGGGATGAATTTCACTTATGGCTGAGCTGCTATTGAACTTTGCAAAACTGATAGTTGCAACTTATAGACATCTATCAAATACTGATCATGAAGAAGTTGACACTCTCCTTATGGTCCATGTCTATTACAGTGCCACAGACAAGACAAAGGAATTCAATGTTAAGCGAATTTGTATTCAGTCTGATGATACAGAATGTTGCTTGCAAAGAAGGATGAGAGTTAAAAAGAGCTTTTAAAGTTTCTTATGTCCTTCAAGGTAGCATTCTAAATTACTATATGAATCTCAAAGTGCAATACCTATTTGAAGATATATCAAAGATGGGTGTCTTGTACCAGTACTCACAAACAAACCTTTGTAGCTACACAAGAAACATATGTCCTTGGCAATTCGCAAATGTAAAATGACAAAAGGCAGCGAATTGCAAATACAAAGTTTCTAGTCAAGGGTGTGTTGCTACTTGTCCATGTGGCAATAAACAACATAGTGCAGATCGTTGGACAATATTTTAAGATGAGTTTCTCAGAACTATAAAAATTATTTAGAGATCTTACATATCTGAATATATAGCTTGTGGTGTCATGAGCATCTTAGACCTTTAAAATGACTTAAATGCAGCTCTAACATAGAACCAGGGAGATTTGAAAAATCAGGCTGTTGCTGGATTAAGTTCGAGAGTTGTGAACAATCATGTTTATATATAGACATATCCTTTGATTCATATGAGAGTAAACTGTGAAATTACAAAATTATTTCGCACTATTCTATTTTTGAGTAATCTTTTAAAAATATGGTATTGTAGTAATTTTATCTCTAATATGTATATTTGTGTTTAAAACACATTTTCCATGCTTTGAAGATAACAAGACACATAATTGAATATATATGATCTAAAATATGTCAACTAATCACCATTCAACTAGTGCTGAAAGTGAAAAATAGGTCATTTTGCCCATTTATGTGTCATTTTTTTTATTTTAGTGTGCCAATAAATGTGCTAAACTTTTGAAAAGTTTAAGAATATTAACTTGCAATAACAACATTTGTGTTGGTTTTCTTATTAAATGTTGGAGGGCAGATCTTAGACCTCTAATAAAAACATTCGCTGTCTTACATACATTTTCTTTAACTTAAATCAGAGAAGACAGATTCAATAAAAAGCACATATAAATCTATCATCAAAGATTTATAATTGTGGAAAATTATATGCTACTGCTAAATGCAGAATGCTAAAAATGCCAAATTTTAGACACATGTAATCAAATGAAGGTTACATTAAATAATACATAGTATTGATAGAGAATAGCTACAATTTTGTTTAAGTTTATGATTTGAAATTACTTTTTCATTTACATTATAAATGGG